GTTTTTGTGTGATTGGTGTTGCTCTCTTGTGCTCCATGACCTGCCGTGGGGACCATGTCAAGGTCGACTCTTACCCCTTCAGCCTGGCTTCTGAGTGAGGAAAGTGGAACAGGCTCAGACAGAACCTGAAGCGGGCAGCATCAAACAGGCCCTCCCCCACTGAGCCCAGCCCAGATCAGCAGAACCCCAACCAGCTCCCAGGGCTGTGAACATCACAATAGGTGATTGCTCTGTTAAGTTGTGGGAGTGGTTTCTTAGGCCGTGTGATGGTGGGGGTGCCACATCTGTGTTCCTCTGTATCTTTTATATTTGCCAGTGCATCACGGAGATCTAACTATGTCAGTGAATAAAGAGATACCTCATTTGTTTCAAAAATCTATATAGCATATGATTGTTTGGGTCTACCCTGATTCATTTAACTATTCTTTGATTTAGAGGCATCTAGCCCAGTCCCCGGTATTTTGCCCTTAACAATTCTGCAGTGAATAACCTCGCACATACATCATTTTGTACAAGTCCAAACATCTCCGGAGGATATTGCTTTGTCAAAGAATGGCTGCCTGTGTAATTCTGATGGATGTTGTCAAATCACGAGCCACAGGAACTTCCCCCGGCAGGGCTTGAGATACCTGTCTGCCCACAGCCTCACCAACGAGGTGTGTTATTAACCTTTTGGATTTTTGCCAATCTGCTGGGGAAAAGGGTGTCTCCGGGTGGCTTCAATTTGCATTTCTGTTTTGTGAGTGAGATTGAGCATCTTTGCAAATACTTAAGAGTCATTTGTGTTTTCTTCCCTGCAAACTGTCTATTCATTACCCTTTAACCATTTCTCCATTAGCTCGTCTTTTTATGGATTCTCTGAATGCAGTTTTTTTGGTGACTACACAAATGAGTGAAATGAAATGAGCCGAAGCTGTGGGCCCTGGTAGCACACTTCAGCATTTCCAGATCAGACCCGGCAGAAGCGAGAAGGGGTTTGGCCTGGCTGTGGTCGTTCCTTGTGCTCTCTGATAGGAAGCCCAGGATGTCCCATTGAAACGCCACTCCCACCGGGCAGCTCTCCAAGGGGCTGAGGTGAGGAGGGCCAGGTGCGCAGCCTTCTGGAGCAAAGGGCTGAGGATGTCCCGAGGCCTGTCTGGGTCCTCAGCAGACGCCGCATGGGGCAGAGCAGGCGGGTACTGGATGCTCCCCAGGGCCCGGAAGACCCCATTTCTTCTCCGAGAGGGGTGGTCGGGAGTGGACCTATGTGCTTTATTTTTTATTTAAAATAATTCTTAACCGAGGATATATTGTTAGAGAGGAAGGGATAGGGAGAAATTAGAAAGGTGGAGAGAGAGAGAGAGAGAGAAACATCAGTACGAGAGAACAGCGTCAGTCAATTGCCCCCCATATGCACCCGACTGGGGATCGAACCTGCAGCCTTTTGTTGTGCAGGACGACGCTCCAACCAACAGAGCCACCCAGCCAGGGTGGAACTATGTACTTTACACACGTGAGGAGCAGAGGGCAAGTTGACGTCCAAGTATGACTATTCAAGAGGCGAATCCTGGTTCTCACCCGGATGGAAGGTGCACCAGACCCACCTCGTGTACCTTCCCACGGGCCTCGCTCCTGCCTCGCTTTTCTGGCCAGAGCGAGCTTAGCCACGACTCTCACGGTCTTAGAGACAGTAGTTGTCTCCACCCTCCCTGCTGTTGTCACTCCCGCTGTGGCCCCTGTTCCACCGCCTTGAGGGACCAGAGGCGGGAGGCATTGACCCACCCACAGGAAATCAACAAGTGTGGGGGAACTTGACTGAGGAGAGATGGGGGCATGGGGGCGGGTGGATACGTTATTCCCGGCCCCGATGAATGGTAGGAAGGCGCGGCCTCTCCAAGACCTGCCCCCACGCTGCCCCAGCTTTGTCTGTCTTCCCTGGGACTGCTCTCCCCACGACAGGCTGGACACATGGGCTTTTGGCCTAGGCTCTGTTTGCTAGGGAACTCTGGCTCAGATGGAAAGTAAACTCGATTTATTCCACAGGTGGCAGGGACAGACACCCAGATACTAACAGCAAAATGGCTTGTGGTGCACCTGCAGTGAAGGTTTGAAAGGCAACCCTAGTCTTTATTGAGCATGTAGTACGTGACAACCGCGTGCTTCAGGTTTCCCGTGTTCTGTCACTTCACGTTCCCGGCACGAGCGGTGACTGCTGCCATTCTACCATCGCAGGAGCTGGGACGTAGGAGCTTGGAGTCCAGAGACCTCGCTAGGTCTGGCTAGGTCACAGATGGCAGCGATGGTTTCCTTCTACACCCCTAAGGATAAGGCTGGTTGCAGCGGTATCTGTGGCTTCAGCCTGTAGTGACGAAGGCTGCCCGCAGTCTAGTCAGAGGAGCCGTGAGAAGTGTATGAGACTGTTTAGTGGTGTTGACAGGCAGGGCTAGGTGTTTGCAGCATGGACTGCCTCAGGCCTGAGTGGCAGGCCCCTCCCTGTTCCTGCACCAGGTGAAGAGTGAAGCTCCCAAGAAGGGAGACACAAGCCTGCCGTTGCTGAGATGTTCTCTGCGTCGTGAGGGTGGCCAGCGGCATTCGGGGCTGCAGAACTGGGCCCCTGGACAGCATAAACAGCTGACATGTGCCACCAGGTCTATGACAAGTGTCCCCAGCTTCCTACTAGGTCTTTCCTGCCGGATCGTGGTTTCCCAAAATTGCCTGACCATTCAAATGACTTGACGGATGTCAAAAGTGTTTCACAGGCGTTTCAGGGAAGGCCTGGGGAAGTGCTGCGCTAGGCCCTGGCCCTGCCGTGGCCCAAACACTGGTCAGCCCTGAGGCTTCCGTGGGCCTGGGTGCTTTTTCCTCCAGTGTCCTGGGGAGGTGCCTCTTACTCCCTTGGGGCCAGCGGTCTGGCCATGACAGTGGTGGCTGGCTCCCCGGGCTCCCAGGACAGGAGAGTGAGCGGAGAGAGAGGCAGGCTAGGAGCCAGCTCTCCCCAGGGCCCCTTCTAGACATTTCCGACCCTAGAAGCGTGATCTGTTGTGACAGCCTCAGACCTGACAACAAGAATTACAGGTGACTTGCTCATTCCCTTGATGTCATTTGTAGCAAAACTTATATCGCCACCAGGAAGAAAGGAGACCGCTGGGGAAATGGCAAAAATAAATCATTTTCTGAAGTATTCAAATTACCAGCCTGCCTGGCCAACACCTATTTCCACCGGAGGAGCCAGTGTGGGGGTGGGCAAGAATAATAAAATCTGCACGATGCATCTTTGCCCCCTCCGGTGGCTGCGCTGCCAGAACCGTGCAGGAGTTTGAAAGTGATGAATGGGATGCAGAGATCCAATTTCACCGGCACAGGGGTCCAGGTGCTCCGAGTGCCTAGTCTTTTTTTTTTCTTCCAGCCGGGATCCAAACTCCTACCTCCTGGGAAGCTGGTCAGTGAGGCCCCAAAGCCGGTGTGATAAGAAGGAGAACACTAGGATTTGTGTGCTTTTCATGGCGCGTTACTGTCTGCGGACCACTTCCTCGTGCATGAGTTCACTGGCTCTGTGATGGAGGCCAGGGAGGGGGTGCGGGGGGCTCATCAGAGAGGATGTTCCACAGGAGTTCCAGAGGCGATTTGCCTGCAGGCGAGACTTTTACAGTCCTAGGGCCAGGCCTGCTGACGGTCTAGGGTTCTTCCCAGCTCCTCCAATTTCCGAGGGACCAGGGTCCGGCTGACCCTCCGCACAGCCAAACACGGGTGAGAGGAGCCCAGGACTCAGTGTTCATGGCGTGTCGCCGGCGGAGCGAAACCGTGAACACAGACACGCTGCTCCATCCCCCCAAGCTCCATCCCCCCCGTGGCTGAGGTGACAGAGACTCAGCCTCGCCCCGTGCTGTGGGGGGCAAAGGGCTTTAATAAAAATGTGCTTTGGATTTTAGAATCCTTCCCGAAGAGGAATTTCTGGGCCGAAGTGCAAGTTCATCTAGACTCAGAATTCTGGGGCTTGGGCGTGACCTGCTTAGACATGGAGCATCTGCACTTGGGGATTTTCAGCGGAACCGAGTGGGGCCGGGGACAGAGGGAAGCAAGGAAGCTGTTTACTAGCGTTTTGTTAGAGTTTGCGGGTGGGGCTGGGAAGGCGGAAAGAGACACCCTGCTCCCATTGTGGCTGTAAGGAAAAGCCACTTTATCAGCAAAGGCATTAGACATTAATTACCCCATGAGCACTTTCCCTGTGGGAAGAAAGACAAAGGGACAAGGAGGACCAAGAAAGGCGCTCGGGAGACTCACCTGCCCCCTCGGTTTTGCACCTCATCTGTGGCATCAGACCTGAAGGGTTTTATATCCTGTGGCCTGGGATTTTTTTTTATCTCATGTCAAACAGAGTGAATTTCATTGTAATGTTTTCAAGTTACGTCAAGCATTTTCCACCTCCAAAAAAAATAAGGGACCCGAGACTTTGGATGTTTATGTCAGTGAGTGATGGAGCCGGGTTTTCAAGGTGGTCCTGCTCTGCTCTGAACCAGTACTCCCGTGTCTCCGGAATGCGTGTGTGTGTGTGTGTGTGTGTCCTTCCTGGGTATGACGATTCTGGTGCACAGGTCCACTTAGGACACTGCTGAACACGTTCGTTGTCCCTCTTGGAGTGGGTTCATCTCAGCACACGTCAGTTGTCACCTGGGTAGCATTTGCTGCCTGGTATGGATGGACCATAAGTCATCCGGCCGATCCTCCACAGAGAACAGTCAGGCTGTCTCCTGCCTCCTGCCGGGCCTTCGTAATTAGGGAGCGTCGCCTGATGGATGGTAGGATAGGCAAGCGAAGGGCTTGTCCAAGGTCATGCAGTCCTTCGGTAACAAAGTAGGGTTTAGATGTAGGGCCACCTGTTCAAAGTTTCTCCGTGAAGTTAGAGGGCCACTGGGGGCAGGAGAGGCATGGCATCACCCCCTAAGGCCGGTTTGGGGGATGGGTGGGGACAAGCCCCTTGCATCTGGCTGATGTCTCATTTGAACGTTCTCTTAATTCTCCAGCAGGGTCACAGCCACCAAACGCCTCCTCCAGTGCCCGCCACGTCCCTCTGCTCCTGTTCAGCACAGTGGTTCCGTCAGCCCCAGGGTACCTCCCTCTGATGACAGGTAAGTCATCGATCGGCTTGGAGAACCAGCCAAGCGCAGGATCTATTTAAAGAAGCACGTTTCCAGGTGCTGAGTCACATCGGGCTGGACCAGCTGGCCTGTGTCTGGGCGGCAATGCATGCCCACGGCACAGCAGCCCCTGCAGCCTGGCTCGGGCTCAGGCAACCACCTCACAGAGCTCTGAGCTGAGACACCCTGGTTCATAAGGGGAAACGTGACCCCCGGAGCGCCACGTGTTTCCAGATGTTAGCGTGGGCATTCTCATTGCCTCACCACTGACCATTACTTTCCATTATCATGGTGATCAGTCAGCCCAAATCACTGTTTCAGAGACTGGAGTTAAATTCTAGCCCCGTGGCTTGCCAGCTGTGTGACCTTGCGCAAGTTGAACAGGCTCTCTGAGCCTCAGGTGCCCTCATTCATAAAGTGGGGTTTATCGCTACCAGGCAGGGTTTAGGGGAGATCAGCACAGCAGTACGTGGGAAGCCCATATTGTACCTGGCATGCACTAAGCATTTGATAACTTTAATCAGATTGAAGTAAGATAAAATAAATTAAGTGTGTCTTTAGCACTGTGCTAGACATGGTAGGAGAATCCTAAATATGATGAGCTACACCAGCTCTCATGAAAGTTGTTTTAAAAAGACGTAACCTTGTGAAGTTCTAATGAACAGGTCTGATCAATGCAACATTTGGATAGTTATTGAGAACCTGCTTTGGTTCAGGCAGGACACTGACCGTGGCTCTGCGGGGAGACAAGTGCTATGTGGCCGCCACCAGCTCACCAGCTAATGGGAGAGATGCGCACCTCCTAGTTACCTTGTGCCGTTCCCAGCTCTGTTGGAGTGGCAGGGGAGTGGCCAGGCACATCCCCACCCTTTGTGGTTCCTTGCACATACCACCCTCTTTCCTGCTTCTGCTTGTGAACCCTGCTTCCTCTGCCTTCCCTCATCTTATCAGCCCAGGCCTTTTTCATTACAAGAAATCCAACATAAAGTGCCTGAAGCAAAAAAAAAAAGTTGATGAAATAACCGAAGCATCTACTATGATTGGCCTCAGGTATGGCCGGATCCAGGGACTCAGGTGATATCATCAGGACTTTCCCTCCAATCCCTTTCCCTTTGTGTTGGCTTCCTCCTTTAGAACACTCATTCTTGTCGACAGTTTGCACTGAGCGCAGCAACATCAGGATAAAGAGAGCACCTTTTCCTTGAGTGTCCCAAGAGAGTCAGTCTAGGGCTGACTTTTTTTTTCTTTTTAATTTTTTTATTTATTGATTTTTTTTAAGAAAGAGGAAGGGGGAGAGAAAGAAACATTGATTTGTTGTTCCACTTATTGATGCATTCATTGGTTGCTTCTGGCATGTGCCTTGACTGGGGATCGTACCTGCAACCCTGGCGCATCAGGATGATGCTCTGTCCAACTGGGTTGGCCGGCCAGGGCTAGACTTGCCTTTCACTGGGTCAGTTTGAGTCATGTGTCCATCCTTGTTCCAACTGTTGTGGCCAGGAAGGTGGAATGAACTGATTGGCCAGGTTCAGGTCATGTGTCCATTCCATGGGAAATCACGGGACTGCATAGGAATAAAAGAACATTCCCCAAGGAATGTTGGATCCTGGGCAGAGGCCCCTCTCACTTGGCAAACCTTCTCATCCATCAAGAAGAAGGTTGAATGTCATCTTAGCAAATCGGGTCACGTGTTATGTCACATGTCATAACTGTCAGCCCACGATCCATACAATTGCTCATTGAGTGAATGGATGGATGAATGGATGAAGCCAGAGTGTGGTGGTCCCAGACTAGTTTGCCCTTAGATCCACGGCTCTCCCTTCCCTGCTATGTCTCTGTGGAGGAGCTTTAGGCTGCATTTCTTGGGCTCCCTAGCTTCTGGAGGAAGCCAGTGGGAGACCTTGGTGGAATACTGGGGTGCAGGAGGAAGGGAGAATCTGGGGTGCTGCTTCCCACCTCTCTCTACTGGAGAGGCTTCTCTCAGAAAAGCTGCGTCTCCCGTACAGTTCCAGCTCTTGCCTTGCGGCTCTGGCCCCTGGGCTCTGGCAATTCCCCGTCCTCCCTCTGTCCAGCCAGATCCAAAAAGCATGCCTTTCCCTGTGGCTAATCTCTGGGTGGTCCCGCCATTCCTTCTTGGCCTCTGGCCTTTTTCCATCTCCCCCACCCCCCAGAATCCGTTTCCTGCATGAAATTTCATCTGAAATACTTAGAGTGGTGTCTGTTTTCCTGGTCGGTGTCGGGCCGACGCCAGCATGCTTCATTTGAAACCCTCAGACCACCAGCGACATGCGTGCCTGTAGAACTTTCTGACCCACAGAGGGACTTGGGTTTGCTCGGAGAACAATTTTGTGGCTTGAGAGAGGTCACCTCTTCCCAACAGCTCTGCATCCTCTGAAAGTTCTCCCTCCATCAGACAACCTGCGGCTCGTCTGCAGGCTCACGCCTGTGCAGCGAAGAGCTTGTCTGTCTGTGGGGAGTCAAGACAGATTCATCACCGGCAGTGGTAGGAAGGAGGGAGTGAAGATATGATTTTATGCCACCGTCCCAGTTTTCTGGAAGAAAGGCAGGCTTTCCTAAATTTTGGCTCTGAGAAGTCCGGGCGACCTATGAGATTACTTGTGCCCACAGCAAGGATAGAAGCAGGCAGGTGAGGACCCCACAGCTCCTCACCATGCCCCGCCAAACAGGGCATAAAGAAGCAATGCAGGGAAGCTTCGTGCTTCCGATTGGGGCCTGGAGAGCCTGTCACATCCGAGCTTACCTGCTGGCTTTGTCACTCATCCCACTGTCACCCATGCGAGGCACTTGATATCACCGAGCCCTCATTTCACCAGCTGTGACAGGGAGCCGGCTACAGCATATATCTCACAGGTGCCTGTAAGGCAGCCACCATGTACACACTCTGTAAATACTGTCCCCAATAACGACTGAGCGTGTCACGCTGAGGCCGACCAATGGCCTTTGCAGAGCTGGGACCACACCTGCTCTCACTGCCCGAAGTGCCCGGCACGTGCCGGAATCCGTTTAGTTCCAGGCATCGGGAGTCCGTTCACGTTAAGCTCAGATAAAACCGAAGGGTGCTCTGTGGAATCCAGGAAATCTGTCAGAACCCAACGGCAAGAACTGTGGCTGGGTGTCACTGCAATGAAAGACGTGTGATGTCATCGTGGGCCCCTCCGTACGCACAGGCCTTTTGGGCTTCTCCCGTGCTGGTCTCCATTTCTCTCTCTCCAGACAGTCGCCACCCCTCCCCTGCACCTGGCCCAGTGTGGTGTCCCCAGGTGCCAGCTGCGTTCCCCAGGCCCACACGAAAGGTGGCATCTGGTCGAGAGCACAGGCTCGGAACCAGGCTGCCTGGGTTCAGATTCGGCTCCGCCGCTTACTGCTTGTACCACCGTGACTCCCTGTGGTTCATTTGCTTCGTGTGTAAGTGGAGCGTGATAACAGCACCTGCCTCGGCAGTGGGGCGGCCTAAATGAGTTCACGGGTGTGAAGGGCTGGTCAGAGCTGCCCGGCGCTTAGTACATGCTCAGTAAATGTTAACGGCAGCGAGTGTTACATGGCTTTGCAGTTCACCTCCTGGCTCGGGTCCGTTCCCGGGAGCAGAGCCTCAGAGAGGACTTACGTGAAAAGCATCTCTCAGGAAGTGTACCCAGGGGACCCTGACATGGGACGAGGGAGACAGGGCTTGTGAGGGAAGGCAGAGAAGCCATGTGAGGTGTGGTACCAAGGGCAGTTCCAAAGACAGCTTCATCCTGTGGGGACAGCCCTGGAGACAGTGTAGGCCCATCTTGGAGTTGTCCCCACTGGGGGGAGAGGGAGTTGAAGTTGTTTCGCCCCCACACCTGTCAGCCACTGCTTCAGCCTTTCTGTGTCAGCCGGGAGGCAGCCGGTGTGCAAGGAGCTGATCCGGATGGAGCCCCGATCACCACTCCTCCCCAGAGCGAAACAACTCAGTCTTTAGAGCCCAAGTTCAAATTCGCAGCAGCAGAAACCTGACAGGTACAGGGGTGGCCGGGGGATTGCCTAGCATGTGAAATGCCCATTCAAAGGACAGTTGTGGGAAGAGCGGGGTTACTGAGAGAGAGCTCAGGGGGACGGGTGCCATCACAAGTTCAAAGACGCCCCTCAGCCAGTGTCTGTGGGAGAGTGCTGTGCCCCGGGCCGCCTCCTAGCAGGTGCAGAGGTGGCAGAGGCGGGGGGCGCCCCAGCCTCCTGCCATCTCTGCATCTCTGAAACCCGGGGCTAGGGTTTTCCCACCTGCCCCGTGGGCTTCAGAGGGGCGGGGACCACATCTTACTGAGTCTGGTATTCACACAGATTCTAGGTGCTCCGTCAGTATCCACTGAGCCGAGTTCATGTTTGTGGAGTTCAGCGGTAGGGGAAGGCAACACCCCTTCCTCCCCGCACCTGCCCATTTTCCATCTCCACTATCCCACCCTCAGCCAGGCCCACTCTCGCCATGGCCCCCCCTTATCTGACTCCACCTGGAACGAGAGGCCTCCCCAGCACAGCAAGGAGACACTAGAGCGGAACCAGACTGCACGGGGTGTCCCGATGCCTGAGTCTCAGTCACAGCTGGCCCGGCCCTGCATGAAACCAGAGCCTCCGTTTCCCCAAGTCCGACGACTGGCCTTGCCCAGGTCCCCTTCGCTGCCCCCCTTCGGCAAGGCAGTCAGCACGGCGGTCACATGGGTGAGCATCGGCGTCTCACTTCTGAGTTCCATGCCGGGCAAGCCGTGACAAGGAACTGTCCTTGGCGAGTTACTTGATGTCTCTCTGCGGCAGCTTCCTCATTAGAAAATGTTGCATAATGATGGTCTTCCTCACAGGGCTGGTGTGGAGACATAATAAGGGCAAATCCATGGAGACAGCAAGCATGTCAGTGGTTGCCATGGGCTGGGGAAGGGGGTGGGGAGTGACCGATAATGGGCACAGGGCTTCTCTTTGAGGGGCTGGCAATGCTCAGGACGTAGATGGTGGTGACGGCC